TTTTTTTTGTATTAGCTTCTTAATACTTTTAAATATACATTCTACTTTTTCTTCTATTAAAGTTTTTTATAAGATCTTTGTTAACTCTATTTTGCTTATTTTCTTATAGGTTTCTTCTGAAAGCATTGTCAAAACCAAATTGATGACTAAAATTTCTGTTTCAGCCTATTCTTTTTTATAGATTTTGCATATTGTCAGGTGTTCTTAGTTCTTCTTCTTGTCCTCATTACATAGAATACAATATGGGCTTCTGTATATATTTGATCATCTTTTTGCTAAAGTTTTTAGTACTGATAGCTTTTTATTAATATATTTAATTAGTATTGTGATTTTTCTATTTTCTTTATACTTGTACATCTAACTTTACTTTGGCTTTTAATTTTTCTTTACAATATTAACCAATTATGCTTTTTTTTTCTCATTTGGTTCTATCTTTTAAACTAGTAATATAAATCTCTATTCTGTACCAACTTTGAAATCTAAAATATCTTTAATAAACTTTTTTTTAGTCTCTCTATAAATGTTTTTTTAGCAAAGTGATATACTTGAATTTGGTAGTAGTATAACTATAATTCTATCTAAATTATCTATATTACCCTTCTATTTTGCTAATTTATCTATTAGATTGTTCTATTTATTATTACTATGTTCTTTCACCTTAATTAAGTTTAACCTCAACTCTTTTAATTTGAGTAGCTCTATTATACTTCTTTTCAAATTATAATTATTTTTTTTAATTCATTGTCTACTCATTTTTAACTTTTTTCCTCTGTTGAGACCTAATATTGCTGTTATATTATTTGTATAAATTTTGATTTTCCTTTTTTTCAGTATAATTAGAAGCACAAGCCAGATGGCTAGCAACTCTGATTTTGTTGATAAGGGCCAGTTTTGAGCATCTATAGTACTTTTATCTATTATTTTTTCATCTTTTATATTTACTTGTATCTAACCTGCTCCTATATAGTCATTCTCTAAGGTGCTTTTTGATGCTGACTTCTTAAGCAACCCATCTTTATAAAAGATTAACTCTTCATCTAATTGTAGCTGATTCTTTTGATTCTTAAAAATAAGAAATTCCTTTAAATCTTAACTTAAATACTGCTTTTAATTAACTCTATATCTAAATCATTACATGTTATATTTTTAATTAGAGTTTCATATTCTTCTGATCTACTTCTACTTTCTCTATGTAAACTATTTATCATTTCTTGTTCAAGTTCAAGTGATGGTTCTTCTCTCTTCTTGACAAATCTTGACAAAGAACCTTGAATTTCTTCTCTGTTACTCTATTTTTTACAACTTTTTTGTTCTTCTATATGGTCAAGACTACACTCTTTATATTTTTTAAGAGCTTGGCTTGTTCTATTCTCACCAGGTTCTATTTTTTAATGCTCTGTAATTACTTTCTTTGATGTATTTATAATCATCTTTTTGATTACTAAATTATTGGTTTTTTTACTTTTCGATGACTTCAACACTATCTATTTTTTTCTATTATCTTTTAAGCAGCTATCAAGAGGTGTTTGC